ACGACGACGATTCGGACGTGGACATGGAAGTCGATTCCACTACAGAGCCACATAGAGGTCCTTCAACGTTTTGGAGCATTGATTCCCGGATTCAAGTGCTTCATTTATTCAATTGTCATAAATCTTTATTAATTTAAATTGAACAAAAAAAAAAGTAACAGCCATCTATCATGAAAAGGAAATAAAAAAGTAGTCAATAGTACAGATAATATGCAAACTTTTTGTAATTTTTATTGGGCCTGATTGGTATTAGCCTACATAACACAGTTACTGGGTATCTGAAAAGTTCCCGAAATATTGTCGCAAACCAGTATTATTGCTGAAGTTTATTTCTTACATTCAATTTGCGGGGTTCTGGAACTTTTTTCAGGTATGGAAGAAGACTAACCAAAAACTGTTAGTCGCTGTCTCCTTCTTTGTTAACAGCATGTTCGGTAAATAACTGTAACTTAGCCCTTTCGATTTCTAGAAATTAATCTTCAACCGTGATGTCTGCTGGTTTATTTTTTTTACATTTAGGATTGCTACTTGTAGGTGTTATTAGAGGACCAACAGGACGAACGTCAGCATTATCTGGTTGTGTATCATGCTGTTTTCTACGCATCTGAGGTTGCTTGCAGGTATGGGGATTCCATCTTTCTGGTTTCGCTCGATAACATATTAACTTCTCCTTGGTCAGTGACAACTGTTTATGGTGATTCCAAATGAGACAAATCATCTTCATCGGCATCCAATTGCGTCTCCGTCATCATTTCGAGAAGGTGTTCTTTCTGGAGAGGCAACATTTCCCTTTAGCTGTCTTGGCTCAATCATGTCGGAGAGGAACAGCATCTGGTCGAAGAATGTCCATGAAGAGGAACCTTCCTCCGGCGCCTCATCTCCTGATTTATATTCTCTTCTAAATACATCGCGCAGTTACATCGCGCAGTCCTTTCCACTTTTTCTTCACTTCATTCACTAAAACACAAAACCACAGTTTTGGTTGATATTGCAAATATCAAAAACATTTTTTTTGTATACCTAAATCATGTTATCTGTATGTTCATAATGATTTCTGTTGTTACAGGTACTTGGCGACAGATGCTTCATTCAAAACATTGGGGTATTCGTTTAGAATTTCGGATATAATCGTTGAAAGAATAGTTAAAGAAACATGCATTGCTATTTGGGACCACTTGAGCACTCTACATATGCCATTCCCTTTTACAGATGAACAGCAGAAGTCAATAAAAGAAGGTAAATGGAAATTTCCTAGTTGTGTTGGGTGTATTGATGGAAAACATATACGCATACGAAATCCAGACCATTCAGGCAGCATGTTCAGAAATTACAAGCATTTCTTTTCAACTGTGCTGGACCCGATTACAAATTTATTACCATCGATAAAGAAGGGTACGGCAAGGAAAGTGACGGTGGTTTGTTTTCTAATTCCCGCCAACAAATGAGTTGGGTAATAAACGACTTACCACACTGCCTGGATCGAATATTAAAGTTCCGCGCGTTTTTTTGGAGGATGAAGCCTATCCATTGAAAACTTACTTGATGCGACCTTTTCCCGCATTACAACTTGGACCTTCACAGACAATTTTCAAAAAACGACTTTCACAAGCACGGCAAGTTATTGAATGCGCGTTTGGTATTATTTCCGCCAAGTGGAGAGTGCTTCAAAAAGGAATTGAGGTTGAACCAAACTTTGTCGAGGATAACGTTCAATGTAGTTTGTTGCACAATATTATAATTAACCAAGAACGCGAACCACAACCTATGTCAATACCTCAACAATCAGAAACCAGTACTACAAAAGCCAGATTTGCTTCCCTGAGCGAAAATAGGAGTGTCACTACCATTTATGTGATCAGAGGCAAATTTACAGCATATTTTTGTGAACATGAAGCAAATACCTAAAAAAACTTGTGTCTAAAGTAAAAGATTTGTACTGACGGTCTGTTTTTACCTACATATTTCTTATGTTTTGTTCACTTTGTAATATAATAATGATATTAACAACAACTCTTGCCGTTATCATTAACACCTATTTCTTCTGCAACTTTCGACCACAATTTCCTGTGTACATCACGATAATGATACCTTTTGTCTTTCATATGTTCCACAACGGAGACTTTTCACGAACGGCACTAATCAATTTTTCGTTATCAATTTCCATATCGAAAACTAAACAATGCCTGCACAGAACACACGAACCCAAACGCAGTGAATGATTTTATGGCGTCTTTGTGATGCATACATGCGATTACAAGCGACTAATCCCATTCAGGGGGGATCGGTCGCCAGTCGCTTGTGGTCGGCCGAGGCCGGTCGCTCAAGGTACAGTGGATGTTGTTTACTTACATTTCATTTGTTAGGATCAGTCGCTTGTATACCGGCGTATACGCGCTACCTTCGAGTCGCGCGACTACGCTTCCAATGGACGACCAGCCTAAAGGGAACGTATTTTCGAATATTTACTTTTGTAAAAACTATGTTTTCTCAACATCTAACCTGACCTCCGAATTCTAAAAGGAATGTATTTTCGAATAGTGAAACTTAATGCAATTTATAAAAAGTGATTTTTGTGCACCCACGGACATAACCTATAAGGTTATGTCGATGTGGGCACCTAACAAATTATGGAATTTTATTATAATATCAAGAAACTCGGCAATAAGTGATTGAAAAGGAATAGAAAAAGATGCGATGATATGGAAAAAGTTGTGTTAAATAAAAAATATGTGAATGGCAATCGTTTATTGCTTAATAAAAGTAAAATATGACTTCATACAAACTTTGACAGGCTCGAAAACTAATTGAGTCCGACAAAAAATAAAAAGTGTTCTGAATTCCTACCATCATGTAGTATCATCCTAGAAAAAATCGCGAAAATCCGTGAGTATCCCGTGAAGTACAATTTAGCCATAATTTTTTATGTCAGATTTAAATTCAGATTTATATTTTCAAATAATAAATTAATAATACGTAAATAACACTGTTTTTCATGTGAATAGTTTATGTTTGTCCCTACTACTAATGCTGCCTTTCGTGACACGTTCGCTGTACTATTCTCAGGAAAAAGGCTCATTCTTAATAAGTGATGCGACCCCATGGTTGCCATCTGCGGTAAAATAATGACAAATGACATTTGACATTTGCTAATAAATAACCTATCTTTCTGAGTTCCTTCTGCATTTTCTGCCACTCATATGCAATCATTCTGCAATGCATCAATTTTTATGAAGAATATAATTTTCTGACAAATCGATAGTAACAAAGTTTCCGAAAAGTGCAAACTTTTGAAACTCACTGTATGTGAACGCAACATCATCGGAGTGGTAGACTCTCATAACGTGTTACACGAAACAACAAACTGACAAAAAACCAGCTTTGTAGAAAAATGTGTAAATAGTCTGTTGTTCCCTCACGGATTACAGTTCTGACAGATACTACTTGAATTTATATCAAATACAAGCAAATTAGTCAAAAAACCAAACGTCTTATGTACTTTAGTATATAATACCTGCCAAAGGAATCAGTTACTAGTTGCACTACTACAAGAAACTTAGTACAAATTTTATTGTGGGACATGAAGGAAAAAATGCTGGAATAAAAAACAGTACATAGTTCAAAAATGTTGTTTTATATTTGAAGATCTTAGTTCTCAAAATCAAAACAGATTAAGTTTGGCAAATATACATTCACCCAAAGATCTTTCTCAAATTTTATCCTTTGTATGAAAAAGTCTTTTTCTTGACCACTATCAACAAACAGGTCGCAGTGATCTAAGCCTGATAAGGCCCTTTGTGTCTGGATTTGTATAAAATATCCATGATTTTTTTTAAATTGATATAATTTTCATGGTTTATTCTCATGAACGGTACTTTTCCTCTCAAAACACATTCTTAAAATTGTGTGGAATACCAGAACTTACGATCAGTTCACAACTGTAGATATCATAATTGGGACAGACCATCTTATATTTCTTCATAGCTGATTCTTCATTCTGGAGCCCCAACTTCATATAAGACAACTGACGACATATTCTGGAAATCAGTTTCTCATTTACCAAAAATAAAAATGCAGAAGGAACTCAGAAAAAATTTATTTATTAGCAAATGTCAAATGTAATTATTTTACCACAGTTGGCAACCATGGGGTCACATTACTTAATAATATCAATAGTAATAGTGTTGTTGAGTGACATATGCTGAAATTTATGTTCCAATGGAACTGCAACAATATTGAAATTTGTGTACTCTGTACGACAACGGCACCACTTATTTTTCCAATAGGTTTTTTCTTGATTCTATATTGTTTTCAATTGGTATAAATAGTGGAATTTCAGTGTATTTGTATCCTTCATTATTACATAAATAAATACAGTTACAATGAATATGCAGTAGTTTTACCAACGGAAAACGCTATTAGTACGAAAATAAAATATCGACGATGGTCCGTGGCAAACGACAACCTGGCAACCTGGCATAAATTCTGTGCTTCTGTGAAGTGTTGAAATTTACTTTGTTTTCTTTGTTATTATTAATGCGTGTGTTGTGTGTTGCGTGAGTTTTGCGATGAATGTGATAAATTGAGTTTAGAAAGTTTATGAAAGACTCGATGATGGTCTTGGACCATATAAAATTTAGTTATTTTACAAAAATAAATAAGACTTTGTGGATTGAAGTCCCGTGCATACGTAAGAAAGCTTCAAACGTATTTGAAGCTTTCGAGGCCGTGTTCATGGAATTATGAACCTAGACTCGTTGTCTTTCACTTTGTCACAAATAAGTTATTTAGTTGCCACATTAACTAAAAAAAACTACAAGCAAGTAGTTGGAGACTTAACGAAGGTAGGTGAAAAAATAATTTTTGGAAATGTGCGATGTTTCTAGGGTATTATACTGAAAAATTGACAAATTGGAACATCCGCCATATTTCTCATAAATTCTGTCAGGATAGTTTACTTCCTTACCGACTAAGTAACAAAACTGAACAAAGGTGTTTTGACTATTGTTTTTTTGTTTAAGATCCCGTTAAAATGTAACTAAATCACTTGAAATTTCAATAAAATGTTACAATTTTTCAAAATCAGTATTAATCAGGGCATTTTTTCAACAGCTCGTGTCTTTGCATGGTCTGGAGGCGGACCGTCACTTGCTCCAATGTCTGTTTTCATCAGTGGACTTTTCTGAGTCTACTTCCAAAATATCAGCCCCATCTCCCCAAAATCAAGCATTATTAGAACAGTGTTCCAGTTTGTTGAATAAACCTTCCCTGCTAACAGCTGTCTGTTACATTACAGATAACCCATTGATCAATCACAAGGTGAGTTTTCCGTAAAGTCCAACAATTGATAGTTGAGTGGAGTAAATATTTGTTTCAGGTTATCAAAGTTGGATCTCAATTCTTTAATCAGTTGAGCAAGTGCCTTCGCCTCTCAGCTGTCCAAGAGGTAGTTTTTGCGCTTGCACTCCGTCATTCGTCCATTCCTGAAGTAGTGAATCTATCTCAAGCCCAATTACGAACAAGTGTTCCCGCTTTGGTCCAGTCATATATTGATACTGAAGGAAGCAGTCGGCAACACGAAGGTGGACTTCACGAAACCACACCTGAAGTTCTCCATCTGATTCTATCAGCGGTACTCAAGAATCCCAAAGAATTAGGTCTCACAAACGATATACATACAACATTTCTTAAAACTTTGCAACGAGATTTTCCTAAAGACCTTGTACCGGTAGTGCTTGCACCATTAGTGTACCCAGAACATAGTGAATTGGCTCCTGAAATGTCTTCTGAAGGACCCGGTTTATCCGGGGGTATGTTAGACACGTCGTTGGCTGATTTAGTGACTGAAATAGGATACAATCTGACATCGTCTCTGGAAGAATGCAGAAACAATCTTATAAAACTTGGCGGAAGAGATCTCTCGCCTGGCATAGTAGCCCGCATACTTTCTGTTATGTGCCGAACACACAGTGGCCTTGAAGAATCTCTTGGCGTTCAAACTCCTGGTTCATTCAATAAAGGATCAGAGAACAGGAGTTCTTGGAATATGGAGATTTTCATACAAGCCCTCAAAGAAATTGTTACAAACTTACAGTGGAACAGCGTTGTGGCTGAACTTGACCACCCTGAATTCATCATCAAGGACCGACAAGGATTGTGTTTACTAATAAATGGAATCAGACAAGGATTACAGACATTTGGATTCCATCCTGATACCTTTCCCGTAGATCAATTTTACAAAAGGTGGCAAAATGTGGAGGGACAGTTCAGTTTAATGCAAAACATCTTGAAAAACTCTGACGTTTTTTGTTTTGCTGATTATTCTTGTGTAACTGTATCTGTTGATGTTCTCAAAACACCACCTGAACAAGATGGGAAAGAGTTGGCTAGCTGGCGTTCACTGAATCTTGTAGAGTTATTGCTCAGTTTATCAGAATGTGGATTATACACACATGTTCAGGACCTGTTTAAAGTACCTGTTCACAGTTGTCCTGATGTTCTAGTTTTAGCCCTACTTCAAATTTCTGGACCTATAACTATTCTTAGACAAGAACTTCTCACAAACTTGATACCTATTTTCTTAGGAAACCATCCAAACTCTGCAATAATATTGCACCATGCTTGGCATGCCCAAACCATCAACGTTAAAACAATAATAATGCATGCCATGGGTGAATGGTATGCTAGAGGAGATTGTGACCAAACCAGACTGTCTCGGATACTGGATGTAGCACAGGACCTAAAGGCATTATCAATGTTGTTGAATGCACAATCACCTCAGTCTTATCCATTCATTATTGATCTAGCTTGTCTAGCGTCTAGAAGAGAGTACCTGAAATTGGAAAAATGGCTGTCTGATAAAATTATTGAACATGGAGATGGTTTCGTAATGGCTTGTATCAAATTTTTGTACCGACGTTGTCCGCAGATTGGAAAAACTGATGACAACATAACCAAGGTAAAGGTAATGAATTATATAATTTGGAACTATGAGGAAACATTCTTACTATGAATTCAAATTGGTACACAAGTTAGTTGAATGAGTTTTCTTTTGCTATTTATGTAAATTTGAAACACCTGAAAGGACTTCTTTAAATATACGAACAATGAATTACACAAAAATCACTTTTTCTCATTCAGTTTGTACTCTAAACATTCCTAATGGAATTTAAACTGGAATCATTCACAGGAATACTACGTAACTTAATATATGAATGAGTATTGATATCAAATTTTACTCGAATGAAAACATCCAGTCTGCTGTTATACTTAGTTTCAGGCGCATCTTTTTTAATAACTTTGAAGCTCTGAAGTTCTTGTTTATTCTATTTCTGCATTTAAAGTTGCTCAATAATTTCACAGGCAAACGAGGTTGGGTTATCCATTACTCGAAGTTTCAATTAAGTTTTGTTAAATTCCTATTTGTTATCCAAAAAGGTGCTGATGAGGTGAAGACAAGTGTTTTTACCAGGAACTTTGAAGTACACCTGGAAGCTGAATATTTTTCATATATTCATTTTTTTTTAACTTCATGTATTATGTTTTGTAATGTCCCAGTAAATTATATCTGTTTTACTTCCATTACGAATGTTTAGAGTACAAACTGAATGAGAAAAATATTTGTTCCGTATGTCCTTTTCTTCCAGTTTGTATGATTTACACATCTTTGCAAAGAATTCTGATTGATGTATTTAATTACTTTACACAGAAATTTCCCATTCTCTATATATTTTTTGAGAAGTGGAACCAAAAAGTTGTTTTGCCCATTTAAAGTGTATATATTACATTATATTTGTATATAATGGTAATTATAAGCAAACTAATGAAACCTTTTGAATTATGGTGGAATCGACCAATACTTGACAATCTTCAAAGTAATCAGGTAACACTTCATTTCGAGGTTTTATTTATAAACATATAATTGGCCAGTAATCAGAATAGTTCTGGTGTTATGGCCTACAAAGTACTCTTTGATTAATATAATCTTGTAGTTATTTATGACAATACACTGAATTAACAATTTTCACTGAACAGTTTACAAAACCGCAACACGAGTTTTGTTATACAATAGGCGTCTTCATACTGACTCAATTCTACCTAATTAGTGCTTTACATAATATAACAATTTGAATCATATGACCTACCTACTTAATGACTTATAATTTCAACTGAGTTTGAGTAATTACTACTAATTTGTATTAATTTGCAAAACAATAATTTCCATCTTAAAACCATTCCACTGGCCGTATTTATTTTGTGAATAAAAATGTGTCTGCTATAATGATAACATTGGATACTGGAGCGACATATTAATGCAGTTGAAAAAAAAGTTATTGATTCAATAAAACAGAATTATTATGGGTGATCAAGTTACCTCGAAACTTTTTTGAAATACTATTTGTCAAATATTCTCAAGTATATCATGACAATGACATAAATTATTGTAACTGTCAACTACTGTTCGAATATTTTTCGAAATGCCATTTTCTCATCAAGAAAAATGTGATATGGGAGAATCCTACTTGGTTTTACAGAAAAATAGCGTAAGAGCACTCCAACACTACAGCAATTCGTTCCCCGATCGTGAATTACATAATCGTCGTTTTTTTGCTGTGATTCATCGTCGATTCAGGCATAATGAAAAAGGTTTTGTAATATCTGAAGGTTGAAGGTAAAGAAATTGACGTTTCAGTTAATTTTTCAAATTGTTGGATGTATAAGAGAAAGAATTTTCATTATTGGAGTAGACATAATCCATTTCTAGTCCATCCCTACAATCCGCAAAGACGATTTAGTATTAGTGTTTGGTGTGGTCTATTTAGAGGCAGAATTATCTGTCCATTTTTCTACCATGATTCTTTGAACGAACCCTGTTACATTAATTCATTAACAAGAGTGTTTGAAGAGTTTTTCGATGATCTTGATCTGGAACCTGTCAGATGATCTATTTTCAGCATGATGATGGAAGGTGAAAAGAACAAGATCAGATAAAAAAGAAACATATTGAAAACAGCTACGGTAGACCGAGTCCTACAAATGAAATTTTAATCAAGCAATGAATGCCTTTGGAAATGATGATCCAAAAGATGAAGTGGCATTAAATGCAGAACAAATGATTTTGGAACTGTATAAATGACAAAACACAGATGAATCCAATCAGACCTCTAGGATGCAGAGAAGTGAGGATAATAAAAGAGCAGTGAAAGATATATTAGCTGAAATTGACGTCGATATAGATAATATAAAAGTTTTCAGGCTAGGAAGGTTTCAACCCAATAGGTCAAGACCACTGAAAGTTTGCTTCCCCAGCACTGAGGAAGCCTTAACAACCAAAATAGAAATATTTGCAGACCAATGGCTACAGCATTCAACCAATATTTTATCGATAATATCAATCACATAACTAGCAACTTTTGCTCAAATAGACTATGTCAAAATTACCCACTGGTAAATTGTCTGTTTAAAAAAGTTGTGTCACTAAGTATTCCGGCAATATCTTGAATATCTGAAGAAACCCTACATTTTATTCTATGAAAGAAAGGATATTGGCAGATCAAGATCTTCAGATGATGTGGTGCTGCAGAAGTACGTTCGATACAATAGGTTATGTTCTTTTGAATCTTGTCTACACACCAATGGAAAAAGGTGTTTTCCCAGATGCACTAAAGCTCAGTACAGTAATACATATAGCAAAAACAAAGATATCATTGAAACTTATCATTTTAGACCAATTAATGTATTAACAACACTGGAAAAAATTATTGAATTAGCACTACACGAACAAATAGAGGAATATTTTGAGATTAATAATTTATTTTTGGGGCAGCAATCAGGTTTTCGAAAAAATCACTCTTGTGAGATGGCACTCCAGTATACTATAACAAAGTGAGAATCACATGTTGATGTAGGGAATTATGTAGTATCAGTCTTTGTAGATTTCAAAAGGGCTTTCGAGACCATCGATAGAAATATTCTGTTGGAAAAATTGACACACTATGGAATTGGCGGCAAGGTACTGCTTTGGTTTGAAAGTTACTTGAAAAATAGAAAATAGATTACAAAAGTGAAATCATCAACCTCAACAGAATCTGTGAATGATTTAGGGGTTCCACAAGGTAGTGTACTGGGTCCACTCTTATTTTTATTATATATCTAAATGATATTTACTATTTAACAGGTAGACTTATTTGCAGATGCCACCTTATTATGCATATCAAATAATAACTTGAATGATGCAATAGAGGAGATGCAAGATGTAGTAAATTGAACTGTTGAATATTTATTGATCAATAATATTGTCCTAAATGTAAATAAAAACAAAATTATGATAATTGGATCTAAATATGAGTTGAATAAAATTGACCATGATACAGTGAACATCAAAATAGGAAATTAATATCTTGAAATTGTTACCGAGATGAAATATCTAGGTTTCATGATTGATAGAACAATGTCACTCAATAGTCATGCTAATTATATTATAAAAAACATCTCAAAATTATTCTTTTTTTCAGGGGTAGCCCCACATCTTAGTATTAACTCGAAAGTCACAATTTACAACTGTATAATTCAGCCACATTTTGACTTCTGTGCTACAGTATTGTATCTTCTGAATAACAATAAGTTAGGCCAACTACAAAAACTGCAAAACAGAAGTATGCGTATAATTCTGTAAAGACTGCCCGATTCTCTTCAGTGGTTATCAATCTCGAACAGATCTTATTATCTAAGTATGGTTTTCATATTCAAAATAATAAAGGGTATTCAACTTTATTTCAAAAATGTAATGTTTCATGTATCCATGACAAACTCAAGGTCAGCAATGAATAGTCTGTTTTTCAGAGTACTAGTGGAATTTAACAAACTGCCTGGTTCTTTGAGAAACAACAGAAGTATTCACACTTTCAAACAAGCATTATTGCAGCATATCAAAGAAGATAATAAATTTTAATATATGTGTATGAGTGCATCTGTATCTATACTTATTAGTTTTATTTATTTTTTGTGACATCCATATACTTCTCCACAAATCATTGATTCATAAAAGGAATACATGGAGGGAACAAAGTGATTTAGGATAAAAAAAACAAAAAAATACAGTGTGTCCACGGATGAAGTTGGTCAGGGGAGAAAAATCTGTATTATTAATTTCATGACAAAAAGTCATTCTTTTGAAAATTTGCATCTTTTGGAGATAAAATTTACATAAAAAAATCTGAGATTGGATGTACAGGTTTTTAGTAAAGTAATAAAACGTGGAAATGTTTCATGAGAAAAGTACGTTCCATGATTATTCTACACAAAGTTTTGTAAAATGATGAATGATGTTTATGGTCTAAAATGAAGCATGAATTCAAGTTTTCAGATCAAAATTTCAATTTTTACATTTAGATTTACAAGAAAATCAAGAAAGTAGTTTTAGCAAAAGTTTGCATCTAATTTATGTAAAGTTGACGCTAAGCGGTATATCTTGATTTTTTGTAAGATTCTGCAAATAATTGCAAAAAGAAATTATGACATAAACCACTACCACTGCAAAAAGTTTAAAATTACGTACATTATTGTATTATTCATTATCGTCTGAAGAAAATTCGCCAGATGATGAGCAACTATCGCGATCACTATTATTCAAGGTAATAATCAATGATTCAATTCAGTTGCGTGTGTATGATTTGAATAGAAGATGATTTTAATGCAATAATATTTCATATAGAATTTATTGNAAAATGAACTTCAAACGTTCAAGCCAGTCTCTATATACTTACACATTAAGTTTAATGGACTGACGCCTATCAAAAAAAAACAACTACTCCCCTGGCTAATACCACGAAGGGCGTTGGATTATATCCGACAGGCGTCAGTGCAGGAATCTTAACAGAAATGCAGGAAATTTTCTGTGAAGAACAGTAATCCAAGAACAGGAGATGTTCAGGACAGTGTTTAGACACCGATGAGCCACCCAGGCACTACGCAAATTCAAAAACCCTTCTCCAGACATATAAGATACGTATCTAATATGTCTGATAATTTTTAAAATAGTATTATCATCAACACGAAAAAACTACTTTTCGAGCCCTGAGCAAGAATACAATTGTTTTTATAAGAAAAAATTGATCCTGTTACCCAACCAACCCCCTTTTTCAAAAAAATCATTCATATAATTCTATTGATTTTGTCGACAACATGTTGACATTTTAGACAATAAAGCTTATATATTTAATGGAAACCAGGACAAAATCTGAGTTATGACTTCAACCATATGCAAAGAGTAAATTATTAAAAATGCTGAATGATCATGCATTTTTCTTTTCAACAATATGGAAAGCCTTCTTCAAAGGAACTAGTTCACGCCAAGAATGATCTTTCAACAAAATAGTTACTGCAAGAAACTGGTAGTACTAAATCTGACTCTCTGGGTAATTGTTCGACTATGTTTATTGTTAGAGAACAATGAAAGTTCATCCAATAGAAATGCTTTCCTCACATTTTGAAACTATAACAAATTTATTGACGTGCATTACGCCAACCACTATCAAGAAATGAACTATACTATGCTTTATGAATATTTTCAATTAAAAAACTTGCTATGTTATGAAAGAATCTATATCATCATTATTTGTTATATGTGTGTAATATATCAGTCTTTTACACTATTGTTAATAATTTGTGTTAAATTGATTTCACAAAAAAAATTATCATATAGCTAAAAAAAAATAGCAAACCTTCAATCACATTTCAGGTTGCACCTTTGCCTATAGAAACTCTCTCAACGATGGTTCTCTGCCTGCAAAAATGTATGAACTCTGTTAATCCAGATTGCCATGAAGCTATCCTGACAATAGTAAATACATGTACTCTGATTGTCAAATCCAGGCAGCAGCAACAACAACCCACTATACTTCGTTCACGAGGCATGGATAGTGGCATAAATCCTTCCGTTTTTGCCGGTCAACTTTACAATCATTCCGGCGTCGATTCAGTCCCAGGTCTTAGCAGTAACTTGGCCGGTATCAATTTAGCAGGTCCCTCGAGTTCAGCATTCAATTTACAAGGAGGTTTGGGGCCTCTCGTTCAATCTCCAGGTTCTCCATCAAGAATATTAAATCCTGGGCCGTCTAATAGCCCATTTCCCATCATGCCAATACAGCACCAAGGACCTGTGGGCACCAGTTCTTCCCTTGTTTTGGGAGTCAATCAAATCAATAACCTGGGTAGGATGGGTCATAACCCAAATATGGACAAGTCTAGATTGCCAGAATATAATCTGTTTCCAGAAATATCTCCTCACGTGTCAAAAGAGATTGAAGATGAAGCCAACAACTACTTTCAGAGGATTTATAATCATCCGCCTAACCCTACGTTGTCTATAGATGAGGTTTTGGCAATGTTGAAACGATTTCAAGATTCACACAACAAAAGAGAGAAAGAGGTAAGTGCAATTAAAAAATCGAATATTTTATATCTCTCTCTCTCTCTCTCTCTCTATATATATATATATATATATATATATATATATATATATATATATATATATATATATATATATCAAAATATATATATATATA